TTCTATAATTAATTTTGAACGCAAACTTCTTTTATCCCAACCAAAACGACGTAGTTTTTAAGTGACTGCACCAATGCTTATATACAGTCACATTACAAATCATTTTGTCATATATGTATATATATATATATATATATATATATATCGGGCTTATCATTTCTCAAGCTGCCGGAGATAACTTTATCTCCGGTTACTAAATCATAACCGTACAAAGATGGATCAATGGTGATAAAGGAAGAGAGAGAAAAAGGGAATCATAACCATTCAAAGGTGAATCAATAAATATAAGGAAATAAATAATCAAAATGACGTAGTTTTGGAGTGGCCGGAGATAAACTTATCTCAAGCAGCTTGAGAAATATTTTTCCCACACACACATATATATATATATATAGGTAGGATCCTTTGACACCGGTCTCAAATTTAAAGTTTGACACCTTATCTGACAGTATTAGATTAAAAAAGATCAATGATGTTACATGAATACAAATCAGAGTCGTTGATCTTTTTTTATCTAATGGATCTTAGATGAGGTGTTAAACTTTAAATTTGACATTGATATCAAAGGATCCTACCCCACATATATATATATATATGGGTAGAGAAAAGTTATTGTAGTCCCGAAACACCATTATTAGGTGTTCTTTTTTCCTAAATTAGAAATTTTGTATGACATTTTTACCTTTATCATTTTGCTTATTTCCATCTATGTCCTACTTTTTTTCTACTTTTGGCCAAGGTACACATGCACGCGGTTCACTGTATCATCTTTTCTCATATATATATATATATATATGAGTTAATCTTTTGTCATATAACGTTATTTAGTTTAATAACTTCATTCGATCAATACACCAATTGTCTGACATGACATATAGACTATAAACTTGGTAATAACACTGCCGATTGAAATTTGATGCAAGAGTTTAACAAAAGTTACAGCACAAGTAATCAAAGCATCCCTATGTATAGTCACAGCAGCAAGAGCAACTGCATCACCAGAAAACAAAAATTAGAGTTCAATAAGATAAGATGGGTCATATATATCTCAACAATCACATCAATTTTTCACAAATTCAATTTAGGAAAGAAAAAAAGATTACCATTCATAACCCAATGAAAATATTGAATCGAAATTGTGTCCAGATACACCCAAATTATGATTTTTTTTTTTTGTGTTAGAGTTCTTAAATGTTAAAGGGAAAAAAACAAAGAATGGAGCAAAGCTCTAAACTACACAAAAACAAACAAAAATTGACATGAGAGTTATCAAACAGGGCGATAGCAAAGCAAAACCGATAGACAGGTAGCGATAGGTTATGGCGAGGTCCGGCGGCAGGCGCAGAGGAATGGAAGGAGAATAGGGCTGGATCATGAAACGAAAGTTTGGATGAGAGAGAGAAATTGGAAAAGAAATTTCAGACGAGAAGATGAAGAAGGACACATGTTTACTAATTCTGAATGGATCGTGATTGTTGGATCAAAATGTGATAAAAGGTGAGGAAGTGGCCTAACTGATGTAAAAAGATTTCTATATATATATATATATATATTTCTCTTGTTGCAAGAAGATAATTTTATCTCTTACATACACATAAATGTGTGTGGGGCCATGTGAGATTATGTGAATAGAAAAAAGAGAAAAAAATATGGGTTTCACATACTTTTATTTGTGTAAGAGATTTTTTCTCCTACAACATGAGAAAAACTAAACCCATATATATATAAGTGTTATTCTTTCAACCTAAAAATTTCATAACGTAGTTTTTTATCGTTGATTTTAGGGCTGGCAATATGGGCCAGCCCGCCCCGGCCCGCCCCGGCCCGCCACTAGCCCGCCCAAAATGGGCTGGCCCGCCCCGGCCCGTTTTGATAAAATGGGTTGAATTGAGTAACCCGGCCCGTTTTATGAGTGGGCTGGCGGGCTACGGGCCAGCCCGCCTAAAATAAACAAAATATAAAAATAAAATACAAAAAATTAAATTCTGCATAAAATCACATAAAAAAATCTGCATAAAAGCATACAAAAATCTGTATAAAATCCTAATGTGCTTATGAAACCAAGAAGATCAGTGTTTAATAATCTGCATATAAATATGCATCTTTCAATCCAAAAATAATAATAAAAAAATAAAATCATATCAGGATAAAATAGAATAACAAAACAAGTAACAAAGTGTTGTATGAGCAGTCCACAACAATTCAAAAAAGCCACTTGCAAGCAGAGAAATCTAAGATACGGAGCTACATAACAATTGGGTAACCTAAAAAAAAAAAAAAAAAATGACTTGGCGGGCTAGCCCGCCCCGTGGCGGGCTGACCCATATGGGCTGGCGGGTTTGGCGGGGCGGGTTTGGCGGGCTGGTGGGTTGAAAGACTCAACCCAGCCCGCCCCATTTGGCAGGCGGGGCGGGCCAGCCCGGCGGGCTCAGCCCATTTTGCCGGCCCTAGTTGATTTCCGTCAATCTAATAGTTATGATTTATTGGATCATATTTATTA